CAAAGAGAAATGAAAGCAAGTTTATGACTAATTAATTTCAGTCTGCTTTAATGAATAATTAAAAATGTATAATTAAACATTCCCTGATGTTTAATGCCAGATTCAAATATAAAAACAGTAAAACAAGGCTGCATTATGCCTGTATAAAATAGTCTGGCGTCATTCATTCAACAGTTAACAAAAAATGGCCGACTCCTGAATAAGGCCCATGGCATGGATAATTTTTTTGCACACAGATGCTGATAGCGGGCGCTTTTTTTTTAATGTTATAGACTGGTTCCCGCCCAAATAAATATGGTGACCGGTAACTACTTCCCAAAGCTATTGATAAACCATTATCATGTCGAAACTATCTTGTTTCTTTTTCATTCAAATTTACGTAACCAAAGCGAGGCTGGAAGGAATAATAGTCTGGTGCCTTTTTGCACAAAAACCCATTATTATTCAGTATTGTTATTGGATACAGGGAACATGACTAAAATGGTGGCAGCATTATAAAGGTATATTGAATCCTCTGGGCGCGTGCGCATATTTTTTAATTTTTGAAACTACAGCTTTGCGCATGGATGACAGTTAGACACAATGCTATCAATAACTTACTCTGGCCAGTAGGCAAAAATCGCCATAGTATCTCCACTTCTGCAACTTCCAAGCATTCCAACTGAATCGGTTTCAAATACTGAAAAGCAGTGCCCCTTCCTTTTTTCGATAGTTGCCATAGACACATTCTTATTTTAAGCGAAAAGCGAAATTCATCAACCATCAAACTGCACATTAGTGCCATTGTTGCCATTTTGCACTAGGCTGGTTCCTCGCTTACATTATCGTTGTAAGTTTGTATTTGGGGCCCGGGAATCACACCTCGGCTAATTTACATGCTCTCCCATTATATGAGTCCAAAGGACGGAAGGAACTGGGAACCAGTCTATTTTAGTGGGACCCAGTCTCCCCCCTCTCATCTTCCTCCATGCCCCTACAATGGCTGATCTGAAACTTGTGACCAAGTGCTTAAAATAATCATGGATGCTTGAACTACATGTTATCCAATAAAATTTACCAAAATTTCATATAAACAAGAGTTTCATCAGCTTTGTGCAAGAGGTTGGGATTTAAAAGCCATTCAAAACAAAACACTGACTTTCAGAATTTGCCACTTTCGACTTGGCGTCCTTCAATGTCGATACAGCACTATTAGAGACGGTGGCGGAAGGTGCGTGCTCCGGCCGAAAGCTTCTGAAGGAATGCAGGATCACCCCTTAATGTCATTGCACACCTTCTCGATCGTTTGGCGGCGCAATTCACACGATCGAGGTGCACGGTGACATCAGGGGTGATCATGCATTCCTTCAGAAGCGTTCGGCCGCAGCACGCGCCTTTCCTCACCGTCGATCTCCAGTAATGTTTTGTTCTCGTAAATCTCACCCTCTTGCACAAAACTGATGAAACTAGCTCCGTGAAATCGGTCAAGCCTTGTTGATATGATCTGAAATTTTGCTATAATTTCATTGGTAAACAACATATTTATTTAGGATCAAATATAACTTTCTTTTACATGTCATGCAGTACTACGTCATGTCTGCCTCTGCGTTCACAGCTGCAGCACATACGCGACTCATCTGGAAATGGGATAATGCATCTGCAATAACATCAAATCCATCAGGAATATGAATAGGCACATTAAATTTGAAACCAGTCCGCGAAATTCTAATACACACACACACACACACGATCGAGGTGCATACAGTTTATTTCATCTAGCCATTTACAATGTGTATATACTAAACACATGTGTTACACTTAAAATAAACCATAATGTTGTAGCAGTGAACTCGGTGGTGTGACAGTACTGACATTGTTTTTTAATTACTCCTTCATTATTTTCGTCAAAAGAATTTATACTCCACAGGTACGTACCCTATTGAGACATAGCTGCTAAAAGCATTGTGAGTTCCTCTTTAATCCTGCTCGAACTTTTGAACATATTTGTTGTTACTAGGTGTGGCACTAGGTTAGTAAAATTCATGTCCCAAGATTGGCAATTTAAATTCGATGACAAATGAAAAATTTGTCAGTTTCCATGACAACTATTTTGTTCCAAGAAAAAAGCATTACAATACACACGACATAAAAATATTGAAATCAGGAAATTAAACTAATATATAGAACACGGACATCTTGCAGTGTTTTTGTGTCCCGAAATGTGGCAATTTCAATTTATTTACAACTTGTTAATTTGTTATTAATTATTTATGTCAATTCCTAGTTACCTGAATGCGCTATTACATTCCAACGATCACTCAGAATGCTTTGTCTGTACGTCATTGATCTTATGTGACACAAACTCTAATATTCCATATGTACTACTTCATTTTTTTTTTTCTTTTTTTACAAAATATGATTTTTAGGTTTCCCTGGTAACCATCTCCGTAACACGTGTTCCTAATATTGAGTTCTTTATCAGAACCGCGCGATAATCTTACATGTTGACTCAAACTTTGAACGAAAAAAAATTAACTGTGTTTACCACTTTGCTTACTTATGCAAAATTTGCTGAGCATTCATAAGGTCACTATGAAGTTTTACAATGACTGCGATCAAAACATTCACACGAAAGGGGACGGTGTGAAACTTATAAACGGCCATATACTTTGCAACACCTTCACCAAATACAAAAATAAACTCACTCTTTCAGTACAGTTATACTCACGAACCAGTACTTCAACTTGCAAATCCCATTTCTGTACCACCAACTGTACCAACATGATCAGTACAAAAGGGGGCAAATTGCCGTAAGCACCCTCCCGCCCAAATATCTATCCCGACTTAAGTGCACACGTCAAAACCAAAAGTAGAAATTTAAACTTCTACTTCTGGTTACGAATCCTAACTTTCTCGTGTATTACGAATCCACACCTTTTCGTGTATTTCCAAAAAAGGGGAATACACGAGCCTAAAGTGTGGATTCGTAATGTAATATTTTTCGAGGCGCAACACGCCAGGTGAATTCGTGAACACTAGCAATCCACACTTGTATGGAGTGTATTCTCTGATTCACACCACTACGTCAAAAGAAATATTGTCACTGTCTAGTCAAGTGGAGCTGAAAAGGCATGACTAATATGCTACTTGTTTGCATTGGTCTGGTGATATGATATGCATTCGTTACAGTTACGTTCCACTATCAGGGGCGTAAATCACGGAGGGAAGGGGGTGTATATCTCCCACTTTTTGACCGGTGGGAATCATCCCCAACCACTCAGTCTTTCGTGATGAGAAAATCACCAAAATGTATTCAATAGCACTGACAAGTGGAGAAACAAAGTACAAACGTTTGTTAAATGCGGCATTCTGATATAATTAGCGCGAATATAATTATACAACTACATTCTCAAGAGCATCCTTTAGTGTAATGTGGTGTCCAGCAGCGCAGCCACCCCTTTCAAATGTCCACGGCCGGGTAATTTTTGGATTTTGGTCATCCCCCATCCTCCTACTCAGTCTGAGAATCATTCGTTAACCACGGAGCCAAGAGTTTCCTGTCTAACATCTGATATGTCGAGACAGATATATGCAAGCCGCGCGCCAGCCAATCGGAGTCGACATTACTAAACTGTGACGTCATTTTATTCCCAAATCAGGACTAAATGGTTTGATTGGTCAAATACAACAATACAACAACAACAGGGCGCATTATCGCGTAACGTGATACAGAGCGCGTGACACATTTTTTTTATCCATCGTCTATGACGCACAACGGGTAAATGGCCGAAGACCCAATAAAGAAAGCGCCCGCTGATTGGTCAAAATCTATGGGTCAAGAGGCAAATTAATTAATTAATTAGCGAATCTGCTCACATATAGACCACGTACGGCATTCGCCGTGGTCTATTACATAGACTACCCCCTACCCGCCCGCACAGATTTACGCCACTGAAAACTATGCAAATTTCCTTTACACGTGCAAAATCAAGAATATTAAATATATTGTCAAAATTTAAACAAGCATGAATCCAAGGACATTTATTTTCACAACACTAAGCCAAAGCTTACGTAAGATTCTAACTCAATTATAAGATGTAACTTAATGCCCAATGGCCAAGATACGATAAATGTCTAGACAGTTCAATACTTTTGACGCAATGATTTGATTATTTTAGGGAAAATGACAATTTGATTTCTGTTCTGTTGTGCAAAAAAAAAAAATTATAATAATACTGGACAGCGTTTACTTTTTTTTGGTGAAATACTGTGTTAAAATTGTTAAAGAATGGTTTATCTTTTTTTTATTTGAAGTTGTGAAACATGCAATGAAAGTGTCCAGCACAATTTGCAAATATTTTTTTTTTTAATGTGAGGAATAGTGAACTTTAATTTTTTGGTCAAACTTGCAATAAGTGAAAAACGTGCAAAATTGTTCAAAAATGTATTTTGAATGCGTGAAAAATGAATAATAAAGATTTGAGATACTTCATGTTAAAACCAACAAAACTGAACAAATATGTTTGTTATTATTTTTATTGAAGTGGTGAAACAGGCAATGAAAGTGTCTTGTACAATTTGCACATCAAAAAAGGAAGAAAATTAGACTTCATGCCAAACTGTTTGAAAGAGTGTTTTTTATGTGAGGAACATTATAACTTTAAGGTGAGGTTACATTTTTGGCAAAACTTGCAATAATTTGCTCTCAGAGAAATAAAAGAAAAACGTTTAAGGCAAAGTAGATCCCCTGCGACAGCTAATGAACACACGTTGCAACGCATTGGGCCTGCAGTATTCCATTCCTTTTTGGAATCATTCCCCAAACCGACATGGCACAGGGCAAGAGTAATCTAGTCCGAAAAATAAATCCAGGCAATAAATTCGCCAGATTATTCAATTTAGGTAATAAATCAGTGGGAGGTATCCAACCCAAAAGAGAAATCCAAGTAATAAATCGGATAAGTCAAACCAGCGCTAAAATCATACACGAAAAATGTTCTTTGATCACTAGGCTGTGAAGCTATTAAATGAAGCCTACTTAATCCTCAGCCTGCGTAACTGGATACAACAAACTTTCTCCTTGGTTAAAAGTTTGCTCACCTCTTTCTTGATTGGTAGAAAGCCTACTATTACTTTGCATCCTATCTGCATAAAATAGGATTGCCTTATGTGGTAATGCCTAGTGCGTTAAAGAAACTGTCATGATATCTGATTTTAGCCAGATAATCGTAATTGTTAACATAGAAGCTTGTATTCAATCACCGAGTAGACGACAAGTAATGTAACCGAGTATGAATGGTTTTATCTTTGATGGATTATGATCCGGGGATTATCTGACCGGGCTTACTCCGTGGGACTGATTTTCTTGTTTTTGTTGACCTTGAGGACCATGAACACAATGAGGATGACGATGACCAACAAGGCCAGGACGCCCATGATGATTCCAGCCACTGCTGCAACGGTCAGACCTAGAAAATCAACAACAGTTTCTGGTCAGGGGGTAGTATACATAGTTATTGCTGGGGGGGGGGGGTTGACATCCTCCCTTAGTAATTGTTTTTGCATCGGTAAGACCTATGAATGGAAGGAGAAAGCAAACCCAAGAATTGTACCTGTCGAAGGTAGTATGTACAGGCATCACGTGGTGGGGAGGGGTCGAGGGTGGGGGTGAGGGTAGGCGTGGGGGTGGGCGTGAGGGTGGGGGTGTGGGGGATGTCACACATCCCACCCATAATTACTTGTTTTTGCAACGGTCAGACCTATAGGGATGGACGGGGAAGCAAGCCCAAGAATCTTGCTTGTCAAGGGTAGTATACACAGTGTCACATAGGATTAGGGATGGGGTGAGGTTGGGGGTGTGGGAGATGTCACACCATCCCACCAATTACTTGTTTTTGCAATGGTCAGACCTAGGGAATGAAGGGGAAAGAAAACTCAACAATCTTGCTTGTCAAGGGTAGTATACAGGGGCGTTTCATTGGGGTGAGGTGAGATGCGGGTTGGGGGGTGCGACACCATCCCACCCTTTACTTGTTTTTGCAACTGTCAGACATAAGGGGAAAGAAAAGCCAATAATCGTGCTTGTCAAGGGCAGTATACACGGATTTCGCTAGGGTGGGAGTATTAAAGTGACACCCCTCCGTTCATCCCTTAAAAATTCGTTAAAAAGCCATTTTCCCTTGAAGTTACAGTTAACAAAGTTACAGTTTTCACGGATTTTTCAACATATTAAGCCAGATTAGGAGTCCGTGAAAACACCCTTTAGAAAGTCCTTTGTTTACCCATGGAGATAGACCCAGTGTTTCGTTATGTATAACCAATGATGATTCCAGTGGCCAGGGTCATTAAAAAAAACCGTGAAAATACCCTTACAGGATTAGTCCTATATAAGCCCCATGTAAATATCTGTGAAACATCTCTTAAAAATTCTTTTCACGGAGAAATGGACTTTTTGTGAATTTTTAAGGGATGAAGATGTTCATAGTGCTAGTGTTTGTCAGCAAAATGGTAGTGCATGGTGCAGGTCGGCAAAATCATGTGTTTGCAAATACGCCACAGTCTGACAATAGATAGTGCCACCTATCATTACAATGCCTCACTGGACGATTTCTTTACAGCAACATATTGGGAGGGAACAGTCATTCTGACAAGATAGAGGCCACAAGAGCATCACTTAAAATCAGGCCAAACACATTTACTTGTTTATTTTGTCTTAGTTATGAAGATGAAAATAATCGTGCTACTCACCACCGATAGGAATCGGCAAGCCTGGATGAAAGAGGAAGAAATAAATTATGAAAAGATAAACAAAAACAAGTGAACAACTTTTGATTATATTTGTAAACCATGTATTAAATTGCTTCACCATGGTGTTTATGACACCCAAATGCTGATTCTAATGAAAGCAATAACAATGTTTTACTTATTGGTGTGTATTTGTGAAAGGCTGTCACGAAAGGTGAGTCAGGTTGGCGTAGTGGTACTTTCCTTGCCTTCCACTGCCGTGACCCGGGTTCGAATCCCGCCTGGGCCGGGCCAATATGTGGATTGGGTTTTCAGTCCATACCTGATTCCGTGGTTTTTCCCCAGAACAATGTTCTGCGGTTTTCCTCCCACCTCTAAAACTGTACTGTCTTCTCATTTTTTTCTCCTCTCTACAGGTTTCTTCAGGCTTGCGAGCTACAGTACCTAGGACCCTTTGGGAATCCTTGGTTTCATAACCAGAAAATTAATAAATAAGTGAATATATAAATAAGTGAAAAATATAAAGCTAAGTGAATTACAGAGAATCAATTCAAAAACATAGACTTTACCTATATTGGAGTCTTCCACTTGAACTTAAAAAAAAAAAAAACAGAAAAAGAAAAGGGAGGAAAAAAGCAAACAAATGAATCACAAAACCGCGACTTATTTACTTTTGTCATATTTAATACTGACTTTAAAAAATAGTTTAATATCTATATCTGTCTGGCAGTACAGGGACAAGAAGGGCCGTTTGGGGCAGTAAAAAGAAGTAACGGGCTAGACAGATTAGTGGGGCAGTGCAGGGAGTAACTGGCAGAGTGGTTAGACGCTCTACAGGGAGTAACGGGCAGAATAGTTAGGCGCTCTACAGGAAGTAACAGGCAGAAAAGTTAGGTGCTCTACAGTGAGCAACAGGCAGAGTGGTAAGGCGCTCTACAGGGAGTAACAGGCAGAATGGTTAGGTGCTCTATGGGGAGTAACGGGCAGAATGTTTAGGTGCTCTACAGGGAGTAACACGCAGAATAGTTAGGTGCTCTACAGGAATAACAGGCAGAATGGTTAGGCGCTCTACAGTTAGTAACAGGCAGAATGGTTAAGCGCTCTACAGGGATTAGATTGCAGGGTGGTAAGGCTCTTTACATGGAGTAGCAGGCAGAGTGGTAATGCTCTCTACAGAGAGTAACTGTCAGAGTGGTTGAGCGCGCTACAGGGAGTAACAGGCAGAGTGGTAAGGCGCTATACAGGGAGTAACAGGCAGAATGGTTAGGCACTCTACAGGGAGTAGCAGGCAGAGTGGTAAGGCTCTCTACAGGGAGTAACAGGCTGAATGGTTAGATGCTCTACAGGGAGTAACAGGCAGAGTGGTTAGGCGCTCTACAGGGAGTGACAGGCAGAGTGGTATGGCGCTCTACAAGGAGTAACAGGCTGAATAGTTAGGTGCTCTACAGGGAGTAGCAGGCAGAGTGGTAAGGCTCTCTACATGGAGTAACAGGCTGAATGGTTAGGCGCTCTACAGGGAGTAGCAGGCAGAGTGGTAAGGCTCCCTACAGGGAGTAACAGGCAGAATGGTTAGGTGCTCTACAGGGAGTAACACGCAGAATGGTTAGGTGCTCTACAGTTAGTAACAGGCAGAATGGTTAGGCGCTCTACAGGCTGGGAGTAACAGGCAGAGTGGTAAGGCTCTCTACAGGGAGTAACAGGCAGAATGGTTAGGTGCTCTACATGGAGTAACACGCAGAATGGTTAGGTGCTCTACAGGGAGTAACAGGCAGAATGGTTAGGCGCTCTACAGGGAGTAACAGGCAGAGTGGTAAGGCTCTCTACAGGGAGTAAAAGGCAGGATGGTAATAGGCGCTCTACAAGTAGTAACAGGCAGAGCGGTAAGGCTCTCTACAGGGAGTAGCAAGCATGATGGTAAGGTGCTTTACAGGGAGCAACATGCAGAGTAGTAAAGCGCTCCACAGGGAGTAACATGCAGAGTGGTAAAGCGCTCTACATTGAGTAACAGGCAGAGTGGTTAGGCGCTTTACAGGGTGTAACAGGCAGAATGACAAGGCGCTCTACATGGAGCAGAGTGTTTGGGCGCTCTACATGGAGTAACAGGCAGAGTAGTTAGACATTCTACAGGGAGTAACATAAGGATCGGTATGGGGCAGTGCACGGTATCAGGCAGGGTAGTTTGGTGCACTACCGCAGTGCAAGGAGAAACATGCAAGGTAATTTCGGGGCAGTACAGGGTGTAACAGGCAGGACGCTTTCAACTGGAATAACGGGCAGGATGGTTATTAGGCGGGCGGTAATTGGCCCAATGCACTGCACGTTGTAAGGCAGGGCAGTTTGGGTAAGGGCAGGGAGTAAAACGCGGGCGATTCTGTGCACTACAGGGAGTAATGAACAAGCAGGAGCAGTACAGAGAATAACAGGCAGGGCCTACATTGGGTCAGATAGGGAGTAACAGTCGGGGCAGTTTTGGGAAGGCAGGGTACTTTAGGGTGGTGCAGGGAGTGATGGGCATTGCCGTTTTAGGGTGTGCAGGGAGTAACAGGCTTGACTAATTGGGCCAGTACAGGGATAAACATGCAGGGTTGTTTGGGTCAGTGCAGTGAGTAAAAGGCATGGCAGTTTTGGGAAGGCAGTGCACTTTGTGGTCGTCACAGGGACTAATGGCTTCAAATGCACGGTGCACACTAAATATACCTCCGTTGTTCAGATCGACCGCCGTGGCGAAGTCGGTGAGGTGGTCGGTCTCGCAGGTGACATGATCGCCGGCCCTCGCTTGCTTTGTTCTCAGCCCCTTCCGGCTCCACACTTTGTCGGTTTCGTTGTAGTACAGGCAGATGTGTTTGCCCGGCATCTGCGGGAACGTGATCTCGATGGGATCTGCCAGGTCCCTGACATCATACACGTTTCCTGGTGAGAGATCAAATTTTTCATCAGAGGCCGTGTCAGTATTGAACCTAGCTTGACGGTATCACGGAAGTCCCCTCAATGGTATACGGAAGAGTTGAGGCAGACCACTGGGAATGACGTTTATGGGAATTGACAGTGATGTTTATGTAATTTGTGTACATTCCAAATAAACTTAGTCGTGCGTACTTGGCGTTTTGCGTGCATGAACTGCTGAACTCCGATAACATGCAGACACCCTTAACAGTAGGAACACATGGCGAATCCATCCACTGGATCTAAAAAGTGGTGAAAAAGCACTGTCTCTTATTCGGGGACGGAGCCCGTAGCACGCACCAATATTTTCCCAGTTATTTACTACACTGCATCGTTGCATGCAACCTCATTTTTTTGACGTCTATAACACTAAGCTCATGCAACAAAAATTGCAAAGTGAATAAAATGTTTCCACTAGAAAATACTCGGGACTATCACTGGCAATGAAAAAAAACCCGAAATATTATCAACGCTTGATAACTAGGTGAAAAAGCTAACCTGACATCACAAGTTCGCATTACCGTTCGTGTTCAAAGAAAATAGACTAAATTGTGAAAGATATCTACACAAATCATTGGCTTTCCAATGATACCAAATTTATGTAGCTTATTTTTTACAAAGATATGACGCAGGAACTTTAACAGTGTCCTGTCAAGTTTCGCTAACCTCATTTCGCGAAAAACGGCTTTGAAAGAAAAGACTCGCATTGCCTTGCCGACAGCGTGAAAAACGTTATTCAGTTTTTCCACTATTGTGGGTATTTTTTTCCCAACAGAAATGCATAGTGTGAATCATGGATACCTTGGCAACTCAAAAATACAAAACAATCAACATCTATTTTGACAGAATTTGTCTAGTATACTGGACTTCTGGCGTCGATTACACAAAACAAGGTTTTGGGGGACATCCCTCATTTTGCCTCAGCAGGTCACAAATGTTCTTTTTTTTTGGGCTATTATTATTATTATAATTTTTTTTTTATTTGAGGAGGTCACATACCATCTGCAAACTGCATGCTGATGGTACGTATTGGTCCAGACAACTCTTGTGTCCTGTTGGTTTCACTGTTCAAGTCCTCGGTGTCGTTATATTCCTCGACGTTGAGCGTCATGCTGGTACCGATGTGCCTGAAAAAAATTAAAACACATTTAAAGTTGCGTTCCCTGTGCTATTTCATCCCAGAAACAATTTCTACAAAAGTTATTCACTTTTGCATGTTACGTCGACTGAAAAAAAACAAGGTGAGCCGCAGATCACACGTGTCACCATTTTTTGCGATCGATTCCTATGTTTTGTGTTCTTAAAAAAGCCAATTTTGAGCATTCTTAAACAACCTCCAATGTCCCTAAGATGACCTTTGACCTTCATACTTGTGATTAACCCCATCCCACGGATCACTACATCCAAAATACATTAAAATCCATCAAATAGACAAAGAAACATTTTGAGCATGTTTGAAGAATGACCTATATTGACCCCTACATGACCTTTGATTTCAGTTATCCAAGGAAGAATTGTGCCCAACCAACGGTCACAGTTTTTAAGTTTCATCCAAATCCATGAAAGCATGTTTATCAGAACTCGCCAACAGTGGCCCTTTGGGCCACAGGTACCTTCCCGCACTACGCAAGACCCTATTCATGTCAAAACAACAAAAAGCCACGTGCTAGACAGTGTCCAGGCAGTTGCCAGACAGTGCACTTAAAAGATAATTGACTGGGGTGTGTGGTTTGCGGCTATGAAGGGAGATGGCTGTGTCAAGTTACAGGTGTTTGTATATGTTTCAATGGGACTTGGCAGGAGGCCTGGTCGAAAGTTTGTTGACACGGCCTGGGTGAAGCCCTGGCTGCAAAGTTCATTGAACCAGCTCATTTTGCAAGGGTTGAATGAGGATTAGATGGAAGGTGACCGTCATTGGCCCTCAATTTTTTTTTATTCAAAAATTTCGGTCACCTGTGCACCACAGGGGCACATGTCACTCTGCACAAACATACATACGGGGATACGGGGATACAGTCATACATACGGTCATACGGGTTACAATTATACAGAATTTAGGACTGATAATTATGTCCCCCAAAACTTTGTTTAGGCAACAAGGCTGGTTCCCGCCGTTCAATCAGTATCGACAATGTACGGACCAGGAGCCAGTCTGCTCGGAAAGCAGATCTGTTTGTGCACAAAACAAAACAGGTTTTTTTTCAGAGGGTTGCAAAAAAAGATTACAATGATTTTTTGGTTGGAATAAAACATGCGAGGGAATAAGATTTAATTAATTTTAAAAAAAATGCACACAGCATAAAACTGTATATCTATAGGTGGACTGAGCATACTCTCTGAAACGTTGAGTTCCTCATCCACATTGTCACAAATGAAATTTGACAACATGGTGCTTCCGCGAAGCTAACATCCATCAAAAAGTTTACGCCCCAGAACAAACTCAAAGCTGATTACCCATACAATTTCAACTTATAAGATCTTATACTTATAAGATACCTATAAATAAGTCTGAATCTTATCAGATCTTATCAGATGGTTTTCTGAAGTAAGAAAAGTGACAAGAAAAATCTGATCAGATTCTTATAAGATACGGCTACACAGCAAGTAAGCAAGGGCGGATCCGGGGGGGGGGGGGGCCAAAGGGGGCCATGCCCTCCCAAAAAAAAGAAACCATTTTTTTTGTTTTTATGTGACATCGCAATAAAGGCAGGCAATGAGTACACCACCATCTTTTCCTCAAAAAAACATTGGTTAAAGTGGTCAGAAATTGCCTCAGATCGCACCACGGAGCATCTAGAATCCCAAAAAAATGGGGGACCAAATTTTTTTTTGCCCCCCCCCCCCCTAAAATTGTGTTCTGGATCCGCCCTTGCAAGAGAAACGGATTATGATGCAAGAAATGTCTGAGAATTGTTATACATTCTTATCAGAAACCTCGGGTGTATAAGAAAGTTTGTTTTCATAAGTAAAGGTAAGATTCTTATAAGATTCTTATAAAATGTTCTCAGAATTACACAAGATTCTTAAAAGATTCTTATAAGATACTTATAAGATTCTTATAGGATTCTTATATGATTCTTATGGGATTCTTGTAAGATTTTTACAAGATTTGTAAAAGATTTTTACAAGATTCTTATAAGATTCTTAAAAGATTCTTATCGGAGTATTTTATAGGAGTGCAAAACCAGAGTTTGAAAAGCCTTATTTGTGAATCAAAAGCTGTGCCTGAATAAGCCTCTGTACTGATGACGTCACACTTTGTTTACCTGTGTGCTTTCCTATGGTGCTCAGTTGACCGTGGGCCCCCACTGGCTCCATAGGAAAGTGTAAACAAAGTGTGACGTTATCAGTACAGAGGCTTATTACATGTCTACGGCTCGAAAATACACACGCCTATGGAAACAGCTGCAGCCATTTCCCACAGACCCGTGTGTTATTATCAGCCGTAGCCAAGTAATTTGGACGCGGCCTTACTCTAGAGATTGAGGGAACTTGAGCATGGTGGTCCCAGCCTCGATAGGCTGTGCGGATTGCAGGGTGAGTCTCTTGATGTGCACGGTGTTGCGGACCGTCGTGGTGGTGATACTGTCTCCCTCTGCCAGTCCGCGACCAACGTAAGCGGTGATTTGTCTCATCTTCATCCTGAAAATGGTAACATTCAACAATGAGTTTTATAGGTAGGATAGATATACAGCTCATCAGTGTGCAAGTCCAGTTGTAAACTTACATTTTCTTATCAGCAAGAGAGCACAGATAATGTAGGTTCTTTGAAGAACATATTTTTGGAATGGATGGAACTGTCTTGAATTGCGTTGAGATGGGTCGGATTTGGTTGGGATGGGTTGAGTTGGGTTTGGATGGACTGGGTTGGTTGGGTTGGGTTGGAGATGGATTTGGTCGAGCTGGGTTGGTTTGTTTTGAGTTAGGTTGGGTTACGTTGAGTGTATTTGGTTGAATTTGGCTGGGCTGGGTTTGGTTGGGATTGGTTGGGTGGATGGGTTCGGTTTCATTTGGTGCAGGGCTGGGCTGGGTTGGTTTGGGATGAGTTGGTTGGGTTGGGTTAGGTTGGGTTGAACTTTTGGTCGGTTGGGTTGGGTTGAAATATGGTGGGTTAATTGGGTTGAATTTGGTTGGGTTGGGTTAGATAATGTTGGGTTGGGATAGGCTATGTTGGAATGGGTTGGGCTGGGATGAGTTGGGCTGATATGAGTTGGGTTGGGATGAGTGGTTTGGGTTGGGTAAATGGAGCTGTGTCGAGTTGCGTTGGGATGGGTTGGATTCGGTTGGAATGGAATGGGTTCAGCTGGGTTGGGTTGGAGTTGGTTGAATTGGTTAGGAAAGGTTGGGGTGGGGTTGGGTTGGGTAGAATAGGTTGGGTTGGGTTGGGTAATTGGAATGGGTTGGGTTGGAATGGGTTGGAATGGGTTGGGTTTGGTTGAATTTGGTGGCGTTGATGTTGCGTTGAGTCGAATTTTAGTTAGGAAGGGTTGGGGTGGGGTGTTAGTTTGTTTCTGCATTCAATAGGGGACGTTGAACAATGGAAGACAATAGGGTCCCCAATTCCCGAGAGGTCCCCTATTTGGAATCGTGTACAAAACATACGAGAGGTCTTCCTAAAAGGTTAAGAGTACAAACAAAACAGGGCCAATAGGAGGTCCCAGATTGCAGGCAAATATGCACACTTGCTTGGGTTGGGATATGTTAGGTTGTAATGGGTTGCGCTAGGTTGAGTGGCATGTGTTGGTTTTGGGTAGAGTTCGGATTGGGGGAGTTGGGTTGGAATGATGAATTGGGCTTGGATGAGTTTGGTTGGGATGAATCGGGTTGGATGAATTGGATGGTATGTGTTGTGTTGGTTGGATTGGATTTTATGCATTGGGCTAGGTACGTAGGGTTGGGTTGGAATGGGCTGGGATGGGTAAGGTTGGAATGGGTTCGGTTTGGTTGGTCGGGTTTGGTTGGGATTGGTTAGGATATAGGTTTGGGTTGAAAACGGTTGGGCTTTATTTGGTTGGGTTGTGTTGGGATTGGTTTGGTGGGGCTACTTTATGTCTGTCTATCCTGGGATGGGTTGGGCTTGGCTAGGCTCGGTGGGCAGGTTTTATAGGCTGTACTGGGCTGATCTGGTCTAATGGGCAAGGCAGGGCTGGTGGCTGCGTTGATTGGGCTAGGCTGGGATAGGCCAATTCAGGTTCTGACCTGCATCTGTGGATGAGTGCCCTCCTGTCTTCCGTGTCCGGGCTTAGGTCCATCAGCACGTCGCCGATCTTCTTCAAGATGCTGTCTCTCGCTTCCTCATCAAACTCTTCCGGATTAAGTTCCAGGTAGGACATTAACATTGTCTCAATGATGTCTACCGCATCGACTGTACGAAAAGGGCAAGTTACTTCAATCCTTCAGCATTAATTAACCAAGACACTTATCCCGAATGAGCTTTCTTACTTTTTACTGGATCAACAACATGTGTACCATCCTACTTTTTGCATTTATTTGGAGTCCTGACTGGGCCCATCCAATCAACTAAATGTGTATTTCGAAAGAGACAAAAAAGCAATGCAAATTACAACAATATAAATCCTGCCCTCAACTTTCTCCAGTATTGGGTATTAAAATTCAAACATACTTTGTCTGGTACTACAGCGTTCACAGAAAAATGGAACATGGACTGGTAAGACATACCTTTTTTAGTGATTTAGCATGCCCATTTTTTTGTGGATCTGTGGATCCCAAATAGAATACACTGCCAACTTGGATGATATGTATTTCGAGATAATACTTAGGAGATATAGAAATGCAGATGTAGAAAATAATAAAAGTTATATGCCTCCCCTCCACCCAATCTTTACCTTTAGCGTCGATTTCTTCCACAGGGAAAGAATCTAGGGCCACCGCGACAGAATCCCACTGTGAGACGTCCAGGTTGGGGAAATCGGACGTGGCATTGCGGAAGTACATGCGGTGCCTGACGCGGGCTTCTTCGTAGGCGTCGTCTCTTGGACCGTACCTGACCAGCATGCCGTTCTGGTGCAGGGCACCCACATAATCCCCTTAGTTTAAAAAAGAAGGGGTTAGAAGGTCGAAAAATATTAATGTGAGGAACTGATTTGATTGCAATGTCCTGTTGCTGCTAACGTTTACGAAGAAGCTTCGTTATTTTGTACCATATTCTGTGGATTAGATAAGAGTTTTGGCTTGTAAGCATGCACGTGCTTTAGCCGACCTGGCTTTCAGGCAGACCCAGGCGAAAAAGCAGGAGAAAAGCGCGACAAAAGTTAGACGTTTGGAGGTCAAAATCAGGATAAAGGTAGGACTTTTGCAGGCTTTCATGAGTAGCTCCTCTTGAAACTCACCGATGTCCACAGCACCATAAGCTTCATTTGGCATGTTCTGTACTCACAACACTTGTGTGCATGCCTGTAAGTAAACTTTAGATTCTGTGTTGAAAATGTTGAGGACCCACCACAGCAGTTTTTGTTGTGCATTCCTGCAGGTTAACTTTAGATTATGTGTTGAAAATGTTGAGGACCCATGTCACAGCAGTATTTGCTGTGCATGCCTATTCAGGTTAAGTTCAGATTCTAAGTTGAAAATGTTGAGGACCGGCACAGCAGTATTTGTTGCGCATTCCTGCAGGTTAACTTTAGATTCTAAGTTGAAAATGTTCAGGACCGGCACAGCAGTATTTGTTGTGCATTTCTGCGGGTTACCCTTAGATTCTAAGTTAAAAATGTTGAGTACCCATGTGCTCCATCCTCAACTAAGCTCTTGAAAGTGCAGTTGCAGCACCCCTGTACCCAAACCCTTCATTGTGTGATTTACAAATGACAACGTGTGTCTTAACACTTTTGTGAAAAAAGGTTCAATGAGATTTCATTTTTTGGAGTTGTGGGACAAAAAAAGTAGGAAAAAACAGGAAATTTAGGAATACGTGAAAGCTTGCTTTATGTTGTAATTACTTAACCCTGGGAGCAGCTTAGCAAAAAAAATCACACGGAGTTGCCACGTGGAGAATTTTATCACCACATGTGGTTCTAGGTCAATAACCCCCGCATGTCTGTACACGCACAAGATATAGGTCATTCACATCGTCAGGGATTGTTTACAACCTATCTGAGCTCTGGGCGGCACGAGGGGTTGACACAAAGAGATCGGCGGAACAAAGGGTTTTGGCCGCCATTTTCTCTAATTACTGCACAAAGGCATGAGCCGCCATCTTGGCTTCTGTCTTTCAACACTACTTACATCGGAGTGGCTAGGGTCTGGCCTATTGGAGTCGACAGGCTTGTGGTGTATAGTAGGGGTGAGGATTACATGGAAGTTTCTCCTAATTGGCCCATTGAAAAAAAATTATGCCCATATTTTGAAAAGTGGAGAATTTTATCACCGCTTCGCTGCTCCGAGGGTTTCAAGGATTCTCTTTCCTTTCGAACCTATAAACTCTGAACTGGTTCTCTAAATTCAAAATTGCATTCCCGAGAACTTTGACATGGAATTTGACCCGGAAGTTGCTCTACTTTTCAATGGGAGTGGTCTCGAGGAGACGATGACAAACGTATTAGTTGAGTGGTTTTGTTTGCCAAGTGACACACTTTTGTTGAATGCCACTTTCACTTCTGATATGAAAGCTCCCATGAGAAATATTACCTCAAAATTCTTCTCAAAAATCGGTCAAATGCAGCCATGCCGTATTTATTCTAACATGCTCTCCGTCAATTTTGACAAAACATAGACTAAAATCCCAATCATCGGCCAGTTAAGGCTGCCTTAGGCTGGTGCATGTTAAACTTGATCACTAAATGATCACTGCATTTGGAAAATGGATTGTATGTCTACACAAACCTGGCCTCACGTAGCGATAGCACGGTGCCCACTTTTTTATACATTAGAAAATTAAAGTAAAATAATTTGTCACGTTCTGAGTGATACATACAGTCAGCTACGAACCACTGTCCCATGTTTCGGTCTTATTCATTTTATTCTAAATTCTAAGTGTCTGAGAAATTTTAACTAGAAAATACAGGGATGATGTCAATTCTAAAAAAGAAAATATTCTAAAAGATGCAATTCTTTCTATACTGATTATGTCTTTCTTTCAAATTTAAAATGATTTCATTTTTGGAAAATGTCATGCCTGAAGACGAACACCTAATTCGCCCATGCAAACCTATGGTAAAACTGGCAGACAAGACATTGTTTGAACACATTACGACTGGAGACGACCCCACGTGACGTCACAATTCTACAGCGTATATTGTTATTCTTCATAAACACCCATAGTGAATATTATTATATATTCCCCACCAGGCAACAATTAGGACACAGTTATACCTCTCTGGACCGACTGCCGTCTCGCATTCTTCACATCCTCGATGTCTTGCTCTGTAGCCTCCTTGACCTGCTGTGTGCCTTCCCGAGATACAACTTGACAGCTACGGGTCTCATCACACACCTTAATATACGTTACCAATCAAAATAACCAAACAAAAAAAAACACAGTCGTACTTTACATAACTATCGAAGACAAGGCATTGTGTAGCCCTTTGTCCCTGTGATAAAGCACTCTCCCATAGACTAAGCGCATAAACGCACGATCGAGGACCGTTTTCAACAAAAGATTTCATTAGCTTACACTTGAGTAAATATAGGGGATGTTCCAGTTGGTTTTTTTTTTGATAGGATACATGCTCCTAAACAGCTCTTGTTTTCAAAAAAAGGTGTGGTTTTTTTTCCCTTTTCTCTCTTTGTCAGACTCCTCTCTATACGTTTTGGACACGTTTTTTTTTCGAGTTCGAAAGTCTTATTCAGAATTTACCAGTTGTCAAGTTATGTCACATTAAGGGTGCGTTTTTGTCTGCATAGGGTTAGTACACATTTTTGTTCTAACCATACACTTTGGCACTTTTGTCTGTCTGATCGACTTTAGAAACTTAAGAAACAGTTTGTGCTTGTCTACCAACACATTTCTATTTTCTTCTTTTAACTTGTGTCAAAAAAATTGCTTAACTTTTAAAGGTTGGCTCCGATACCCAAATCAAATAGTAAATATAAACAAAATCCGGGTTTTACTACCAACCATTACTTGCGATCCAGCTGGAACACTTTGAGACGAGTATTTTTACAAGTACAGGCCAGCGAGCATGGCACTTACCTTGACGATGATGGCTACAGTTGAGGCACCGGCTACTTCCACGGCTCGGTCCTGGTTCAACCTGGACTGGTCACTGGCCGAAGTGGTCAGTACCTGACGCTTTCTGGAATTGGCCGAGGGGGCCACGAATGCCTTGTAGCCCAGCTGGCCTACTCCGACGCAGCCCACGACATTGATATCAATCTGAAATAAAAAAATACCATGGCGTTTTTTTCTGACTAAATATGGTACGTATGTCAAAATCAGGCACTTTTGAGCAAGACGTCAATGTTGAGATATTATTAAAAAAAAACATAAACGTTGCTATTTAGAACGCTGCTGGTTTTTTTTGGAAATAGGATATTCCAAAGCGAAGGTATTAGAATTTTGAACATCTGACTGTCCGAAATGTTACACGAATTTGCGTCATTTCAGAAAACTGTAGCTGCAATCGTCTGTGTATTTGGATGCTAATTCATGATGATGAAAAAAATATGCGACTGTGCGTACGATTTCAAAAACTCGGTACTCAGAGCTGAGCAGTTCTAGCTCGCATCCTGTGACGCCATTGTAAATGGTGATGGTCGTAGCGCCCGACGACAGCTTGTTGCCCTCGCTGTCCTTGGCAATGGCCTTGACGGTGTAGTTACTACCAGCTGACAAAACACCTGCAGCACAACAAGTGATACAATTTAAAACTAGAATTGTGTTTGTTAACAAATACATAGCTGTTTAAATTGTTTTAGCAATCACTGCATTTTCATCCAAGTCCAATGACATGAACATGATAATTTTCTACAAATATTGGGTTGTGTGGAAGTGAATTTGTTGTTATAGCAAAATGTAGATGAAGTCATATGACTAATGATGACATCATCACGACGTAACTTGTTAAGAAACAATACAAGCTTAGGGTCTTGGTCTGTGCCTACTTTGAACTCAATCTGATCGTATTTTATGTAATAAAAAAAGAAAATATTAACATTTTCAAATATAATACAAAATCAGATGATGACGTCATGATGACGTTAGATTTCGCATACTATTATCAATACCTGCCTACCCTCAAGTGTCATAACGGTCAGATTTACTCTGTGTTTTCGATGACGTCATGATGATGTCACACATTTTTCGAAATTGTGTGTATCTATCTAAAGCCTAATAAACCTATTACAAACTGAATTTTAAATATATATCACGTTCCGTTGATGATCTCATCCACGGAACGTCGATGACTAAAAAGTCCTTAAATTGAATAATTCATATAAAATCACACCATGACATCATAGTGACGTCACTGCAATATCTGTCTATAACACGTCCCGGTATTCATGCAAACCGAGTTTGAACCCCGTCGGACTTCTGGTTCTGTAGATATAGGGCCTTAGAATATGCAATAGAACGAACACACGTGTTATCCTATGGAAAACGGAGTGGGACAAAATAACAAAAGTTAAGAAATGTTTCGGTGTGTCCACCGAAATAGCTAAATATTGACTGTTTTTTTAGCGGTATGGTATGCAAATATTGACTGCTTTGAGTGGTATAGTATGCAAATAAAAATATTGACTGCTTTTGAGTTGTAAAGTAGGCGAAATAATATTGACTGCTTTGAGGGGTGTAGTATATAACTTTGGACGGCACTGAGTGGTTTATAGTACACAATTATTGCCTACTCTGAGTGCTGTTGTTCACATCGAATGAAGTCAAAGAGCTTTTAAAAAATCACAGAACGCAACCAATTTAAAATAAGGCACAACAGCACAGACACGGACAAGGCTGTTCTATTGCTATGGGTGAAATTCTGTGGTTGCTGTGTTTGTAACTAATTTTTGTAGCTTTTGGGGTGCAAATTTAAACAAAAAAATAGTTAAAGCCTAAAGTATATACATTTTTTTGCATAAATTTTATATTATACAATCTATGCAGTTGAAATGCTTGAAAGCTGCCTTCATGGACAAAATGGAGATTGTTGTGGTAAGACAAGAGTCAGTTTCTTTAACGTAAAAAAATTGCACAGAGCTGAGCTGTGATTCAAACATAAGCAATCTTGCTGCGCGCACGCAGAGGTGATCCAATCACTGGCTTGATATGGGAGTTAGCTACCGCCCCCCCCCTTAATTTACCTCACAAACAAGGCAGCATGCCAACCCTTATAAGCTGGAAGATGCACAATTTTTGTCACTGGATGGAAACCAATCTGGCGGTCTTTCACTGACCTGCACGGACACTGAAGCTGGCTGTGACAGAGCCACGCCATTTGACGATACTCGTGGTGGCGCTCTGCACGCTTTGGAAGGTGGTGTTTCTCAGGACGCGCCACTCAACGCTTTCCACCAGCGCGGCATTGCGGATCCGGGCGTTGACAACCACGCGCCTGGACGGCTTGAACATGCCTTTGAAGGGTGCTTTCAGCTTCATCTAGAAACAATCACAAAAGGCCAAATAGACCGTGTCTGAATCACTATGGCTATGAAATTACACAGGCGGCAACGAAAGCAGCTTCAGTCTCCTCCCATATAGACCTAGCAGGTGTCACTTCCAACAGTAGCCAGGTATTAAACTAGTTCGCAACCCAGGCCCTATACTATGCCCTGTCATTTTTGCACGTCTTCCTCATCAAGTAAAGTCACTCACGAGCCAATGTGGCTCATAAGGCCGGCGGTTATCTCCCGTTTCAGTAGCATAAAGCGACCGAGAATATTTCCACTCCCCCTGGATCGACGGGATGCTAGACCATCGCAGGTTACTCCCCAGCCGATGCCGGTACCCATTTACACTCCTGGGTGGAATGAGGCTAGTGGGGGTAAAGTGGCTTCCCAAGGACATGACCAGCAGCTGGATTCGAACCCTCGGCCCTCCGATCATGAGTCAAGAACCCTAACCACTCTCCTCGTATATAAAGGCCAAATAAAAAAAAACCCACAAGTTTCTCGTCCCTGCCGCGTATTTTTCTTTTCCTTTTTCTTCTTCTTTGTTTTTTTTTCTTCTTCTTAATTATACATTTCCAATGTTGTCCTTTTATTGGTTCGCAATCTAGTGAAAAGAGTGACGGCTGTACACAGAAGTGTCAGTGAAAGAGTTCAGAAAATTGAAGAATCCATCCGTTACATTGGAATATCGCCCGTCTTAAAAAACGGGCCGACTCCTCCCTTTTGTTTTTAAACAGCGCGGATGAGAACCTAGTTTTATTATTTTTTTTTTCATTACCTGTGGGGGATTCCCGTTGGTAACCTCTACCATCATCCTTGCGCTGGCCTCATCCTGGCCCTGGGAACGACGCACAGTGACAACGAAGGTGTAAGACCCAACTCTCAGGCTACTTGGGGTCACTTCCAAGACAGACTCGTTCAGGGAGGATGGTAGTCCAGTGCAGACGGAGCCGTTCTGGTCAAAAGGTGAAGATACAAATAAACACTAGTTAAAGGGAATATACATTTTTTTGCTTTTGCTGTAAGTTTCAGGAATGGATGGAATTGGGGGGGGGGGGGTTGGAAATATATAGCAAATATAGTTACACTGACTTTTTTGAGGCTTTGGGTTCAAAAATGCTATAAAAACCAAGAAAAACAATCATTTTCCTGAAGTCTGGTTCCCTGACTCCATTGAAAAAGAAACAGAGCAGTTTACATTCATTGGGGTCAGGTCAGGGAACCAGTCGAGCTGGCTTGTACCCGTTCATAGTGTGTGTAATCGATTGCAAACAAGTGCGATGGTCAATTGGGGCCAGTATTTAAAAAAAGCCAGTTTTTTTCCAACGCTGATCGGCCGATCAGCGTTGGAAATTGATACAAAAATAGCACTTTTCTTGAAAGTGACAGGATACCAAGTGCCATGATTTTGCAGGATGCTTTACACTGTCATGTACTAACAGTCCAGCAAGGTATTTCAAAATGATTTGGTAGTTTTATTTTTTGATGTTTGCAAATGTTGTATTTTCCCTTTAATATCTAATCAGGGTTGGAAGTCATCAAAAAGTGCGTCTCGCCACATGTTATCACAAGTGAATCTTAAGTTGTAATCGTAACAAGTCAGTCACAAGTCATCAAGTCATCGCAAGTCATCACAAGTCCATCGTACCAAGTAACCTTTCTATCCTACATCAATCACAAGTGAATTACAAGTCACAAGTCATCACAAGTTAATCGTAAGTCATCACAACTTATCACCAGTCCATCACAAGTCAACCATAAGTCGTCACAAGTCAATCACAAATCAACACAAGTCCATGACAAGTCCATGACAAGTCCACACAAGTTATCACAAATCATCACAAGTCTTCAAAAGTCACTCACAAGTCAATAACAAGTCAAGCATGAGTCATCACAAGTCAATCACAAGCCAATCACAAGGCAATTGCAAGTCAATCACATGTCAATCACAAGTCACCAATTCAAAAAGATATCACAAGTCAATTACAAGTCAATAACAAGTAAATTTTAAGCCAATCATGAGTCATTCACAAGTCAGTCACAAGTCATTCTTAATAAAAACACAAGGCATCGCAAGCACCAATGAGTCCATCGCAAGTCAATCAGAAGTCGCAAGTCAAGGAGTATGCAGAATGACCAGTGCTTATAATTCTGCACAATTTTGCCAAACTCTGCCAAAACTCTGCAGACTTGTTGATTCCTACTTGTTTACATACCCGTGGGCAGGACCAGCTGTAGCGGAGACTCGCCTTCTTGTCGTCCGGATCGTGAGACTCCGAGGCGTCCAGCAACAACTTCTCTGCAGCGTCTCGGCCGACGGTGACCTGGTCCCCGCCCTTGATGGATGCCACCAGGGAAGACCGCTGCACGGTGATGGTAATGGAGGTCACGGTGCGTACGAGCACTGTCTCCCCATTGGGAGGGATTGCCACAGAGATGGTGATGGGTTGCCCAGCTGCGGATGGTAAGAGAATTAAGATGGAGTGAGAGAGCAACGTTGGCAATGATTTTGGAAATGAAAGGCGTTAGTCAATTCACATCAAGGAAATATAACAGAAAAGCTTTTTCCCTACTGTAATTTTGAAGCTTTTGAAACTGTTTTCTAAAAACCTCCTTTCTTTGTCATATTTCAACAAAGTTAACGTACAAGTTGTAATCTAAATTGGCATATTTTTTTTTGAAATTAGAAAAATCTAATAAAGCCTGAAATTAAAAGGCCATGTGACTCGACTTCCGGAACCCTGGCGCGGCCTACATACGGCACTGAACAATAAATATGTTGACAGAATGATTTCTAACCGATACCATTCCGACAAACAATGTCGGAATTTTATATAAGTATTCTTCAAGAAAAGTTTATTCAAAGTCAGGGCAAAAACAAATTTCATTTACAACCTTTCACATCCGGCATTTTTTGTTCCTAGTTTTCCGTGTTCATTCACATTTTTTTCAAATCGCATGAGAATGATAATGTATAACAGCGCAAACATTCTACCTTCAAGCCAATGGGTTCTAGATTTAGTCAAAACAAGATGTTATAAACAGTATCTGACCTGGTAAGTTGCGCGCCCAGAACCTTTGGTTTCTGCCGCGACGGTTGAGGGCACCGGCGATAGTCACATTATCTTGCGTTGTCGCCGTCCAAATGAACTCCACGCTTGACGATTCAATGCACCTGCTGTAGAACTGGACATCGGCCCACAAGACGATTCTGTTTTGATAAAACGAAAAAACCCAAAACAATAACAGGACAGAAATCAAATTCAATGGTCAAGTTCAGATATTTTAGAAATTGCCTGAAGAGGGCTTATTATATAGGTTTTCCTTAATCCAAGAAGAGGTTTCTTGAAGAATCATGTTTCTTGAAGATTTCAGGACCTAGTGCCCCTTTTTTCCAAGACATCGAGGGCGGATCCAGGTAGCCCCCCCCCCCCCCAAAAAAAAATAACCCTTTTTTTAAGTGATGTCGTAATTTTTTGGAACCGCTTTTGGGGACCAAAATTGTTTTGTCCCCCCCATAAGAATATTGTGTTCTGGATCTACCCTTGCGAGAAATGACATGACTTAACAAATAGCAACTCACCTTTTTGATGCCAAAACAACATTGTCTTCGCCCAGTCCGCGATGCTGGATCACCAATCCGGGCTTCATGACTTCCTCGGGCAGTTTTTGTACTCTGTGTGAGGCAGTGTTCGACCTGCCCCTCGTAGAGACAGTCAGCCTGACGGTATACACAACGCCGACCATCAACAGGTCGCCGTCCAGCTGCAAGTCCGAGCGGTTGTTATCTGCAAAGACATGTGATTGTAAACGACCATCCAGGTTGAAATTCGACATGAAACGACTGACAACATTGCCCCCACCCTGGATAGGCTCCACAGCTTATACCGGTACCCAAGGACACAACATTATGATCAGCAGCTGGATTTCAACCCTGACCTTATTATTATAAGTCACAAACTAATAGGCCACACAAACCCACACTTAAGTGAACAGACTTCAAGACAACACTTACCGTTGATTGTTCTGAGACGAGACGACAATGCTTCAGAGGTGCCCTGCCTGCTACTAACCGCCCATGTGTATGTAAGACGAGGACCAACGGATGCACTACCACGGATAAGCAAAGTCCCACAGAAGGGTATCTCGTTGGGTCCACTGACGATGGCAACAACTGGAAAAAAAATGAATATAACCGGTGTAATAGCTTAAAAGTATTAGTAATTAGCAACACAGAGGTCTCGGGTTCAATCCAATCCATGCTTGACATTTTTTTTCACAGGCTCTAGAAACTGAAAGGACTGAGCCGAAAGAAAATGCCAACCCCAACCTTCCCAAAACTTGCAAATGCCTCTTTGGAAAACGGAGGATTTTGGGACATATGGCCAAAAAAATGCCGTTGATTTTGGGGATGCACTATGTTACGTGCGCAAAATTCAAATGACAAAAGGAAATACAAAAGTGAAATCAGCAATTATATTTGAACAATTAATTTAATATTTACAAGAGAAATGATACAGATGATTACAATTAAATGAATTAATACAATCATAAAATGTGTTCAACTTAAAATAGTGTAACATTTGGCCCTACAAGATGTCCTCCGAGGTCACGTCACCAAAGTTACAGAAATTAGCACTCAGACAACCTTCCAGGATGGGACCAAAGTCAGCGAAACCCGGATAGAGCGAATCTACGAAGTCAACTTTGACCAGCTATTCGAGAAGAAATAGTAGTCAAGGCCAACCCTACCAGATGTTGCAGATCTTCGATTTCCACTTGTTTTGTTACTAGTTAAAAAGAAAAGAAATGTTTTTGTAGAATAGATTGTTCCTTAAAATGTGTTGAACAGAGACTTGCCTCGTTTATATAACGTTTTGATAAACTAAATTTATGAGGAAACAGTGTCCTAAGTTATGAGACACTATGAGGCGACATGGGGCACTTGATGTTAGTCCGCTTAAATTAGTATGGCGAAAAAGTGAGATAATTTAGAGACGTCGCCATGTTGTGTTTAGAAGCCGATCATTTTGAATAAATAAGTTTTAAGTGTTACTAATTTGCCTGCTAATTTTCTTTGTGCATGATTAAGTAGCAATTGCTAATGTTTGTAGTGATTTGTGTCAGCTGATTCTGAACAGAACGTTCAGGCTTAGAAGGAAGCTGTGTAACATTTGAGCAATTGACACAATTTGTTTTGACTTGGCGCGCCATAGAAAGCGATAGACGCGCGATTAGTTTGTCGCCGCCAGCGGGCTACTAGTCAGTTGGTGAACGCGACTCGTGCTGGAAGGACCAACCAAGCCTACCGGAGCGTCAATCCAAGGAGGCGAAAGGGCGTACTGCAGTCAGTATATGTGCCTACCTTCCTTTAGCGTGGGGCATATATAGCGGAGCCATAGAGGCGCGACTGTTGGCCGGACGCCTCAAGGGACGACGTACGCTAGCGAGCGTACATCTACTGAGTCATCGGTCCGAGCACTGAGGCGCAGGGCTGCTGTAGGTAGCGGTGGAGGCGTTAGGACTCATCGAGGAGTTACACGCTCCATATAAACCAGGCTCACGAGGAGCCTACCCCCTTTGAGGCCCAAGGAGACGAGAGGCGTTGCTGAGGGAACAACTGTGCGCGACATTTAGAAGTTCGTAAATGCGGCACTTGCGCGGTGGATAAGTGCAAACTCGCGGCGGGAGGCGCTATACACTCTCTAGAGGCGCCATAACACTCACTTGAGGCGCTATTAGGGCTTATTCAAATAAATCACTTTAATCATAATAATTGATCTAATTAAATAAATCAGTGAAACCTTCTTCCTTTTGTCATTGCGTCACAGTCATGTTTACATGTTTGTCAGTCTGTATTGACTGTCTGGAAGTGAGCGATCTAGTGAGTAGACTGAGTATACGTGGTGGTATATTTCCAACCGAACGGACCTGCACCTCGGCGCTGTTAGGGTTACTCGCCTTACCCGCGAGTGTTCGCCGAGGACAACCGACCTGGCAATAGTAAAATCCGCCACAATATCAAGGCGTGACGAGCTGCGGTCCTACGTGGGCGTGGCTATACGGCTACGGACTCCTGTAGGCACGGGAGTGGACTTCTACGGAGAGCAGTGGGATAGTCTGGCCCAAGCCATCTACGGAGAGCAATGGGCCAGTCTGGCCCAAGCCACCTACGGAGAGCAATGGGCTAGTCTGGCTCAACCCATCTACGGAGAGCTCTTGACTTGGATCATCGAAGGAGACCACCAGAGAAAGTGAGCTAAAAGCAGGCTCACTATATACCAGCATCGTCTTGACTTGGTTCTTGGAGGGTTTCGGCGTTGACTACCGAAACGTTACAGCTGCGGGGCGACACACAGAACAGCAGCGAAGGGAGTGGACCGAAGCCTTCGTCTGACCCCGTGGTAGTAGTTTGGCGTGTGTGACACGAGGGCAGTCAAACCAAGCCTTATATGCTCGTCAAATCCCAAAAAATACAATACAATGTGCTGCGATTAAGGCCGCTAGAATTTTAATACTTATTTACTGCATACTCAAGGTGTGCCTAATCCTCAGGTGGATTGGATCTTAAGCTTATTAAATACGTATGTAAATCTCTTGATTGTAACAACTAGTTTTAGGGTCTTGGACCAGACCGCGGTTGTTTATGCTCAGCTGTGCATAAATTTAGGCCCAGATGCACTTTTAATAATCCGCATTGCTCAATGATGTCACTGGCATCAACATATTGACAGTGATTGGTGGGGATTTATGCAGGATTGAGGCAGTGGTGCCCGCTCCAAGGACTATACGAATTCAAGAAATAAAGAAGGATTTTTCATGCAATTTTGACAAAAGCATTTTGCAGGATTGAGGTTGCATCCTAGCAAGGATGCCTCTGAGGTTATAGTCTGAGTTTCACCCGTTATTTACGGAGCACAGTATCCTGGTATAACGTCTGATATGTCCAAACATGCAGATAACAAGCAAAGCGCCAGCCAATCGGAGTCGACTTTACTAAAATCGTGACATCAATCCATTCCCAAGTCAGGACTATAATGGTTTGATTGGTCAATTTAAATGTAGTGATTTGCAATACAACAACAGCCGAGCGCATATGCATATCGGGTAACCGTAATACAGAGCACACAGACGATTTGACACAGGTTTTTTTTTATCCATGTCAATGACGCGACGACGGGTAAATGACCAAAGACCCGATATAGAAAGCGCCCGCTGATAGGTCAACATCTAGAGGTCAAGATGGGGTTGTCTTGCCTAATTAATTGGCGAATATGTGCTTTATGTGACCATTCACAGCTTTTACCATGGTCTACTACATAGACTACTTAAGTAAGGGTTAATGCATGATTTAATGTACAATGACAAACGTCGAGGTTTAAATTACCTCTTTGCAGAACCGGTACATTTGGTCTTTCACTGACTGGACTTTCACCATCTCCTGGTATTTGTGTAGCATCAACCTCGCCCGAAGTTCCACCACCGTTGCCTGGGGTTCCACCGCCGTTGCCTGGAGTTCCACCGCCGTTGCCTGGAGTTCCACCATCGTTGCCTGGAGTTCCACCGCCGTTGCCTGGAGTTCCACCACCGTTGCCTGGAGTTCCACCACCGTTGCCTGGAGTTCCACTACCGTTGCCTGGGGTTCCACCGCCGTTGCCTGGAGTTCCATCGCCGTTGCCTGGAGTTCCACCACCGTTGCCTGGAGTTCCACCACCGTTGTCTGGCTCCCGTGTCACGCCATCTCCCCGATCACCATCACTGCTTTCGGTTGTAGCGACTGAAAAACAAAAGGTCGGAAAAATATCCACAAACTTACAATTGTAACAAAGTTCAACGGTTAGTCACTTGGGCCTATATTTGAGGCCCATTTCTGCATTTGGGAATCTTGCAATTTTGAACAGTTATGGAAACGGTTAACCATTTCGTCACCGACACCACGAAGTAATACTCTACGTGTTAAACCATAATTGTTTTCGATTTTCATTTTTTTTTTACATTTTTAAACATTTTTCATCAAGGCCTACCATTGCACGAAGTTTCAAATCTTCAAGAGCTTTACTTTAATAATTACGCTAATTACCATGGCAACTTTTGCGCGAAAGTGACCATTTTCGTTTTCACGAAGAAACACTCAAGTTCCATTTACCATTGTAATGCATGGCGCGCACTCTTCTTAAATGCAAGCAAAAAAAACGTTTTCATGAAGTAACACTCTTCTTGTTTGAGCGCGCGCGCGCTGAACTCCGTTTCCACGAAGTAACACTCTTCTAGTGTTGTAATACATTGAAGCGAGCTACTTCGTGAAAACGAAAATTTACAGTTTCGCAGCTTTTTTGGTTTCACGAACTAGCACTCATCTTTTTTTTCTCTTATTTCTTGTTGTTTTAAAGGGAATATACATCATTTGCCTTTGCTGTAATTTTCAGAAATGGATGGAATTGGGGGGTTGGAAATATATAGCAAATATAGTTACACTGACTTTTTTGAGGTTTTGGGTTCAAAAATGCTATAAAAACCAAGAAAAACAATCATTTTCCTCTAGTCTGGTTCCCTGACTCCATTGAAGAAGAAACAGAGCAGTTTACATACATTGGGGAATTGTAAGGTCAGGGAACCAGTCTAGCTGGCTTGTACCCGTTCATAGTGTGTGTAATCGATTGCAAACAAGTGCGATAGTCAATTGGGGCCAGTATTTGAAAAAAAGCCAGTTTTTTCCAACGCTGATCGGCCGATCAGCGCTGGAAATTGGTACAAAAATAGCACTTTTCTTGAAAATGACAGTATACCAGGTGCCATGATTTTACAGGATGCTTTACACTGTCATTCACTAACAGTCCAGCAAGGTATTTCAAAATGAATTGGTAGTTTTATTTTTTGATGTTTGCAAATGTTGTATTTTCCCTTTAATACACAAACTGGTCAAAAACAGCAAATTAAATGACATCAATACATCAAGTGTCCACAAGGAGAAACCAACTAAAAATACTCTTATCTGCAGTTTTGACGCAAAGTGCTGTTTTAGAAGGCGTTCAACTTCAGATGCCGTTTTCTCCGATTGCTATAGTTTTTACTGGTATTTACATGAGTGTTACTTCGTGGTGTCGGTGACGATTTGATGCCACTTTTTATGGGCCTTCTAATTTTTTATTAGCTGTTTCGGTGACGCACCGAAACACCAAAACAGCTCTTATTTTCGTTAAAATTTACGTCAGGTTACGTAACATTAAAGATGCACTTTTCCCTGTACATGTATGATTTCGTCAAACCATACACTTTGGAACGTTCTTAAATCTGATCGACTACAGACTTGACACACACTTAGACCACCACCCAAAATTTGTCCTAAGAAATTCGACATCGTGACGTCATGAGGTGTCCGGTTACGTCACATTAAAATACATTTTCCCCATAATTATGTTGTTCACGTTTTCTTCAAACCGTACACTTTTGCACTTTTGTAAAATCGATCGACTTCAGACATGGTACATATTCAGACATGGTACATATTCAGACATGGTACATATTAGACTACCACCCACAGATGGTCCTAGAACAAATTCGTCATTCGGACGTCATCAGCTGTCAGGTTACGTAACATTAAAGTTGCACTTTTCCCCATATGTTTTTTACATTCATGTTTTCATCAAAATACCTCATCATGTAACAATTACTGAAATAAAGCCTAGTCTATAAGTATTTTACTCGGCTTTGCAGTTCATTCACTACCGTCATAGAAAAATCGCAATGTGAGAAGCAAAAAAAGATCCCCCTCCCCCAAAAAACTGTGATCAGGATGCACCTTTATTTGGCTCACAGACCCTTCTTGCAAGAAAAACAAAAGAAAAGAAAATATATACAGTATATACAGATAAAGCTATGCCGATTCAAAACTCTGCTTCTATTTAAACGTTAATGTCAGTCAATTGGGCCCCGGTACATACCGTTACTTCGTTTTACCGTTTTGGATTTCCTCCAAAACGAAAACAGTAAACGAACCATTGACTGTTTTGTCGTTTTACAGTTTTGTAAAACGGTCAAACGGTTTTAAGATAAATACGGTTATTCCGTTTTATCAGTTTAGTAAAATCCATTACAGCATATATAACGATCAATGATTTTTGTTTAACAGTTTTACAAATAACTTTGAAAAACAGCAAAACGGTTAGTATCGAATACAGACTTTGTTTTCAATTCAGTGTCATAGTTAAGGCCTAACAGTCCGTAGTGAATGTATGTGGCGGTGGACAAAGGGGATGGAGGGGGACCATGCCGCGCACGAACAAGTACAGTGTTACCTCGTCATAATTAATGCGTGGTGTGATTCCTGGCGTGACCCTGATCCCCATCTAACTGCGATTCACTCGGTGGGGCTAAAGAGTTGCAAGCAAAAATGGCGCTGGGAAATTTCAAGGAGGAAATTTTACAATGGATACAGGATTGTAAGACGTTGAAGAAGTTGCAGGTATTTTGAAGGAAATTGGAGTTCGGCGCGGATCTTCAATAGCCAATTCGTAAATTCTGTCATGAGAACGACATGTAGGCTAAAGAGGACAACTTGGGTCCCGGGCATTGACTCGATCCGAAGGCCAGGACACATTAACTTTGCAAGGTGCATTGCTTAATTGCCGAAAAAAATCAAAAAATGATCGACAAGACTATCTACCGTTTTGTCATTGTCATATTTTTTTGTAAAACAACACTCTAAAAATAAAGCAACTAACCGTTTATCGCTTTTTACAATCTAAAAAAAGGAACAAAAATACCGTTTGACCGTTTTACAAAACTGTAAAACGACAAAACAGTAAATGGTTCGTTTTACTGTTTTTGTTTTTGAGGAAATCCAAAACGGTGAAACGAAATAACGTTATGTACCGGGATTCTATTTCTGGCCTTGTTGCTGTTTTGTTTCCACTGCGAGCATCTCCCGTGGATATACGCAGCCACCATCTTTTATCAACCGCGTTGGGGGAACAATAGCGTGCTCGCTTCTGAGGCAAGAAGAAGTGCGCCACCCGCTCCGGCAATCATCCGTTTCTACGGCAACGGGTGTCAACAGCCGCCTCCGGCAATCACCTGTTGCACAATTAGTCCATATTCCGCCGTCAGCTCATTGAGCTAATGGACCGATCCAGTGGGCAAATTAACACGTGCTCCTCTCCAATGCCACGCTGCATTTTCCTTCCGCGCGCATCATACGCGCGTGCCCACATGTCGGACTTTAGTGAACGCATATCGGACATAAATCACGGCTGTGATTGGTCAGAACACCATGGGGCGGTGCTTACTGGAACGGTCCATAGTCCAGTCAATTAAGAACAAAATAGGGCCTGACCTATAGGACACATTGCAATAGAATTTATTTTAACGTTATCCCGCTAAGGAAATATCACTATTTAACATACTAAAAATCTAATTTCATCGAAGGAGTGGAAAAGTGATTTATTCACTTTTTCGCTATACTAATTGTTCATCATCCGTAAACAGTCGTATGGAGGGCGTCATGTTTTCTTTTGCGTCCGTTACCCGTCAGAAAATCCGTTCACATCACGCATGAGACTTTGCGAGACACGACTGATCAGAGCGACGACTGTTCTATGCCCACCAATTATTACAATATACCGTATTTACACTGTCGCCAAATACTATAGGATATTTTCTTGAAAAAAAACCATGAGATTTGTTTCTTCCCCAATTATTTATTGGTTAAAACAAATCATTTTGTGCTCAATAAACTATTTGTTTCACGGAAATTCTTTGCAAAAACAGGTCTACTTGAAACAAGGCCGGGCAATGATAGACACAAAGAAATCCATTTAAAAGTAAAATTTAAGTGTCTACGCCAATAGGCCGGAATCAAATTTTAACTATTAGGGAAAATATCCGAAATCCAAGATTCGTGTTTGATGAACTTAGGTCACTGGCATGATAACATATTAATTGTCAAAAAAAAATAATATATACTAAAAGACAAATCTTAATGAAGACAAATTAACTGGATCAAAATCTTGCAGTGAAAATGTAGCTGAATTCTCGGCTTTAGAGAAAAGAATTAGGCAGTGTGACAAGTGTATATTACCTCTACAAAAGAATATACATTCACCCAGATCAAAACCTTAGGCCGGGGAAGGGGGGGGGGGGGGAGGTTGTGGACCATGCAATTGAGATCTTTTTTTTATATAACAACGCGAGGTCTGTTCCATCCAAAGAATCATTTCGTCGGGACTCAAGTATGCTTTTCTGGAGTAGTGCATTTCACTCTTGACAGTACAAGCAGATTTTTTTTTCAGTTTCCCGACGCAATGTCGTCAGCTGCACTCGCATGTGGTCATGAATTCTAAATATTAGCTTATATAGGCATGCAAATCAAATCAAGTCACCAGACGAATTGTTCGAGGACAAAATGTCCCAAATTTTAATCTCAACAAAAAATGCTTGAAAAACACCCTTCCTCTCCATAAAAACAATTAGATTTTGCACATGTTGTTTGTTTATTTATTTGAAAGTGTGTGACGCTTCAATGGTTTCTATTGCAATTTGTTCTAGGTCTTAACTTAAATTGACTGCGTACCGGACTCTACGAGTTTTAAATCTTAATGATTTTGCGTAAGCCAGAAAACAAAACAAAAATTGTAAAATTCAGAAGCGAGCCAAAATGCAAGGCTGATGGTTCAAAAAACGCTGAAGTCGGGCAAACGTTCATCACTTGTTGCTATGGCACCAGGTGTAAACAGTCAGTATGGCGCCATCAGCTCATCAAGCTGAGAGCTTTGAAGCTGATTGAGTTTGCGTCAGCGAACAATACAAAATTGGTAACATTGAGAAGCCAGCCCAAAATAAAGCATTGCTGATGGTTAAAAAAAAAATCTCCCGTGGATATATGCAGCCACCATCTTTAATCGACCACGTTGGGAGAAAAGGCCGCTTGCTTTTCTGGCAAAGCAAAGTGCGCCTCCGGCTCCGGCAATCATCCGTTTCTACGGCAACGGGTGTCAACAGCCGCCTCCGGCAATCATCTGTTGCTATGGAAACAGGTGTCAACAGTCAATATAGCGCCGGCAGCTCATCTAGCTGATAGCTTTAAAGCTGAATTTTTTTGAGTCATCCAGAAACAAAACAAAAAATAGTAGAATTTAGAAGCGAGCCAAAAGCATTGCTGATGGTTCAAAAATCGCTAAATTAATAGTGAGGCATATACGTGCATCACCTGTTACTATATGGAAACGGGTGTCAACAGTCAATATTGCGCCGGCAGCTCATCAAGCTGATAGCTTTAAAGCTGAATGATTGTGGGTCAGCCAGAAGAAAAAAAAATAGAAAGGAGCCAAAAAACATTCCTGATGGTTCAAAAATCGCCGAAGTCAGGCATACGTGCATCACCTGTTACTATGGCAACGGGTGTCAACAGTCAATAATGCGCCGGTATATAGCTGATAGCTTTAAAGCTGAATGATTTTGCATCAGCCAGAAAAAAAAAATGGTAAAATTTAGAAGCAAGCCAACAAAATACCAATTGCTGATGGTTCAAATATCGCCGAAGTCACGTACACGTGCATCTCTTGTTGCTACGGTAACAGGTGTCAACAGTCATATTGCGCCGGCAGGTCATCAAGCTGAGAGGTTTGAAGCTGAACGATTTTGTGTCAGCCAAAAAAGAAATTGGTAAAATTTAGAAGTGAGCCCAAACAAAATTATGCTGATGGTTATGCTGATGATGCTAGCAGTTCATTTCTGTCTCCTTAAAGGATGGAGTATTCGTCATGTGTTCCTTTTTTTTTTTCAAGCAATAACTATACTCACGAAATTTGTTTGTTTTTGTTTTTGTTTGTTTGTATTCTTTTTGAAAATAAATTCAAATAATACTTTTGCGGTGCACCTTCTTATATCAAGGAATATCAATTTCTCTCAGGAACAAACCTACATTTTGATATTTATAAATGCAGAAAATTGTTACAGGAACAGTTAGTCCGAAATATCACAGTAAAGTGAATGACATGGATATCTTTCACATTGGCCGCATTGTACTCTCATACAGCATAATTTAATGTAACCTAAAAGACCTTGTTTCATGATATTTTGCAATTTTTGAATTCCATCGTTCTGATCATGAAATACGTGAGTGAAAACACCCTTCATTAATATCAATTAAATTAAGCTGAAGCAGACAAAGCATTTTGTACTGATGGTCATTTATATTTCATGCTTCCGGCTGTAAACGAGTGCGTATTCCTGAAAACCAACCCACGACGTCGCGGTATCTGGCGTCGGTATTAGTAATTTTGGGCAGACACAACGAACAATGTTTATGACATAAACGTCAAAACATCTGCTAGTCATCATCAGTAAAAAAAAAAAAAAAAGGATATCATAATAGGCTCAGCATGAAAAAAAGGTCGGCGATGAGTTGGAACAAAAAAGTGCACTCACCCAGACACTTAAATTACCCAGGAATTTATAATCTTATCAAGTCTTTGTTCATGAGTTTGCCTCTTTCATTCTGCATTTTAAAAAGCTCCTTCGCTCTTTAACAAACAAGGAAATTTAAATATTAAAGTACACCGGTATACAGGGCCCTTTCCAAAATGATAGCCAATTGTTTTCTCTGTTTTATTTTCTGTTTCTGTAACCAAAATGACGATGTTTGCAAATGTCTTTGTTTGCGGTAATTTGCGTATAGGTGTGAGCAAGATTACATCAGCAGATGAAATTATCTACATGGATTTATTTGCACACCACTATTCATCGGTTGATAAATACCATTCAGCACTCCAGACCCAGGAACCATTGAGTTTCAAGAACATAGGTATTGGAGCTAGATAAACCAATGTAAAAAAACACACACACACCAAATACTCGGATGTCCGCGCCCACCGTTACACGGTTTGTCAAAGTGTGTGTGTTTCCCCCCTCCGCCATTATTTTGACCAAAGAAAAATTACTTGCAACATATACCGAGTTGCTCAATATACCGTGATGAAACGTGTTGGTTAATACTACAGTGCTTAGATATTCGATATTAATGCAGAAATTGAAGTTTGATTTATCAGGTTTCTAAACCAAACACGTTTTTCTTCTTGATCGTTTCATAGTAAATGAGTTTCATTGCAATGACCCAAAGCGATTTATTTTTGGTACATTTTCTGATGTACACTATGAGAAATAAAACGATTTAATCAGAAACACAGTTACAATACCTTTGAACCATTTTTGTACACTTTTGCATTACAAAAACATTGAATCAGTAAATGGCTGGAAAAAAAACACTTACGTTGAAGGATAGTCTATGCCAATATATACCACAGTTGACCTGTTATTTGTAGGATAAAACCTTAATATTTGAATTGTGTTGGAGGTCGTACTTTGGAATGAAATGACCGACGCAGGTGGTATTACTGCTACGCATAACATAGGGGCGCCGTTCTATATACGTTCAGAAGCACGCATTTTCTTCAGGGAGATGAGAGATACAATACTGATGTGTGCAAATGAAGACATCGCCAAGGTAACGTTCTCCAATGGATTGCACATATCGATCGCCTTATCCCTGTTGCCATCAAATGGGGGCGTCAGTACCGCGTTATGGTAGGGGCGAGCGGAAGACTTGCAAACAGTCTTCAAACACGTGGAATGCAAATCCACTAAAACTTTCAAAAATATTGCCCCGCGTTGCGAGTATGTCTGCTTTTTGTGTCGTAAATGCCACACAATGAAGCAATATCATAATGTTTGATTAATTTCAAATATCATCGAGGAAAGATAATCTAAAAACGTATGGCTATAGTTCGGCACGAAAGTCGAGGTGAAAAGCGATTCAAATGATAACTTCAAGAACGGAAGAAAACCAAACGTAAGCACGATAGCACCAGCAAACATGAATGAGTCGAGAGAGCGTTTGCACTCTTCTGCGTAGTAAATGGATCTGGGTATTCAATACATTCTTCCCGTCTCTCATACATCCGACATCTATGACTGCATAATTCAGGATACACTTTTTTTTTAAATGCAGTTCCCTCCCAAATTTATTTCATAGCGATCGATCGATCTTTACCAAAACCCCCAAACACTTGAAGTGAATTGAATGGCAGATTACAGCTTTCGGAGGTAGCAGGGACAGCAAATTGTTCACAATTTGGACCTGTGATTATTGAATGACCCATCTACTAAACAAAAAGCTTTGCACTCACCTTGTCCTCTCATACGAGCCATCCAAGCCCGGTATCGTCCGCCGATGCTCTCAGAAACATCCTGCAGCTCGAGTCTCAGCAGCGAGAACGGTTCCCTCAACTTAGAGGCGAGCGAGTCGATGACCTCAGCGGTTTCGTCAGAGGTCTCCTTCGGCGGGCACACTCGGCAGCGAATGGACGAGGAGCTGTTTGCTCCGACAATCGAACAGCTGACTTTGTACAAGGCAGGTCGGTCCGGGTGGTCTTCTTCGATCCATCTCCGGACTTGGCCCCGAAGGGTTCGCAGCAGGCTGACAAACTGTAGCCCGCCGGTAGGGTCGAACCTCATCGAGCCTGTTGGTGTCTCATTTGTTGGGAAACCATCCCTAAGGTTCCCAAGAATACCCGTGAAGCGGTCTCTGAGTCCCCTGATAGCATCCCTGGTGGTACCCCCGGTGGCGCCCCCGGTGGCACCCCCGGTAGCACCCCCGGTAGCGCCCCCGGTGGCACCCCGGGTAGCACCCCCGGTATCACCCCCGGTAGCACCCCCGGAAGCACCCCCAGTAGCACCCCCGGTGGCACCCCCGGTAGCACCCCCGGTAGCACCCCCAGTAGCACCCCCGGTAGCACCCCCGGTCGCACTTCGGAGTCCGTCTTAAAAACAAATCAGGAAAGAAAAGAGTCTAAAAAAGTAGCATCCATACATTTGACAATAGAGACTTTGGATTATTTTGGCTATTAACACGTATAAGAAGGTTGCATGCAGATGCAGTTGATGTGATTATATTTTTATTCTCCACCTAACCAGGTATCTTGTCATTTAACTATATTCTTAACCTTTTCAGCATCGTTAATGTGTAAAACTATTTATGAAATTGCGGCAAATGAAAGACATTTGCAAATTGGGCTATCAGTAACAAAATCATGTGTGACTGTTCTTTTATATCTTTGGCATTTTCTCAGCAACCCAATGTTCTGTTTTCATAATTTGTTTTCAGTATTTAAAATAAAAAAAACGTTCAGCTTCAATCTGATATTCAAAGCATTCAAATTTACAAATCACTTTATTATTTTTTTTAAAGGAAAATGTTTCAGGGTTGCATTTTTTTTTGGAGGGGGGGTCCACCCTTTGGAGTACTTTGACTTTGAAAAGAACTATAGGCATTTCTGTCGGGGTAAGGCCTTCTTTTGACGACCGTCAGAGTACACTCACCTAGATACAGGGTGAGTAAAAAAGCGGACCCAAAACGCCGAAAAGTATATTTCATATTCGAAAAAGGATGTATAACCATATATGATAATGACAAGAAAGCCAATTCTACAAGCTACTGAAATTCTACAAGCTACCCGAATTGCTCATTCCGTTAAAAGAATATCACAATTGAAACACAATGGCCCTAAAACCTCTTTCGTCCAATAATGCAATTTTAAGAATCGCTGTCACAATTGTCTTCAAACATCACCAGCGATACAACCTCAGTATAAAAGTTACAAATATTCAGCAAAGTCCTTTTGAATGCCCGTCTTTCAAAAAAGTCGATCTTTATAAATCGTATTGTTTGCCTACCAGGGTTGCTGATACAGATATTGTGTACTACAGTTGCTGACGGTTGTTGACTTGAAACAAGTATTCTGTGTCATTTTCTTTGTTATTCCAAACAGTCTGAATACACAATATTTTTTTTTTTACGAAACAGGTTTTAGGGTCATTGCGTTAAAATGTGAAATTCTTTGAACGGATTTGAGCACTTTCAAGTATTTTTTTAAATCTAAAAGTAGCTTATGAAATTGCATTCCAGTCATTAGTTTTGGTGCTACATATGAAATATATTATTGGGGGTTCCGGTTCCTCTTTTTTTACTTCCCCTGTATTGAAACTCTTCAAAATCCCAGGTCAGATTTCACCCACAATCCAGATCACACTTGACCTGACATTCCAGGGTCTAATTGACACCTTGCCTGGTTAAAAGAGACGCATTTTGCCAGACAACTTTGACCAGGAGACCTATTGTCACCCTGATAAAGTATCAGGTTAAATATGACCTGGAATCCGGATTAATCTATAAGTGTTGTTGCGACTGTCCAAAACTATGGAAGTGTGTTACAACTGATAATGTAGTAACCAACAGATGTGTCACCAACCGATAATGTCACGCAACTTGACCGATACTGTATCGCTTACCGATAATGTAACAGAAATTGACCGAGCGTGCAGTAAATGTTACTACACTATCGGTCAATATTTATTTCATTATTGTTTAAGACGGATAATGTAACAACAATCGACTGATAGTGTGGTACATGTTCTGTTACATTATCGGTTAGTGATACAATATCGGTCAATATTTATTTCATTATTGTTTAAGACGGATAATGTAACAACAATCGACTGATAGTGTGGTACAAATTCTGTTACATTATCGGTTAGTGATACAATATCGGTCAATTTGTGTGACATTATCGGTTGGTGACACATTATCCGTTGGTTACTACATTATCAGTTGTAACAAAGGGCTATTGCCATTTTGGCGTAACAACAGGGCCAATTTCATGGACTGTAGTTCCTAACCACAGAAACATGCAGGGCAGAGATTAGTCTTTGGGTGACTCCAGCTTAGCTAAGCAATGGTTTCAGCTAAGCAGCTAATCAGTAACATGACCCCTTGTCAGACTTACCGAAAGCATGCCTCATCACGTCCGAGATGTGGGCTGCCAATAAGCTATTGAGAAAGGACTCGAAGGGAGCCTCGTGGGGAACGCTGATGCTCTCGGTAGCAGGTGCTCCCTCTCGGCTCGTCCCATTGCCGAAGAACAGCAGGCCGTGGAAGGCTAGCTTTCTCAGGAGGTTCACTCGCTTGGTAATGTTGAAATCCATCACCGTGGGGAATCGCAACTTGCCATTACCACGGTCGGTTGCTTCTGTAACTTGAGACGGGGTGGGTGTGACGGGATCATATGGCGACCGCTTTTGTCGCCCTCCAAAATCAGGCCTTCCGGAATGGGAGTTAAGCCAAGCGTCCTGCAGGCCACGGTAGTATTCAAGGGTCACGTTGCGGACGATGTCGCCCCAGGTCTGGGAGGCTGAGACAACCCTGTGGGCCAGCTCACCGTAGGCGTCGATCAAGGCCAGCTTCGGCAGGGAATCTTCGATGAGGGTCTGTACGTCGGAGATCTCCGGCACCGGCTTGCCGATTCTACCGTGCAACCACGACAAGGAGAACCCGTTGAAGGTGATATTGATTGCCGGGGGGATGTCAGATGGGTCCAGCTGTGGGAGACCGTCTCGTTCACCTAGACGCATCTGGACGCAACCTCTGCGTAAAACCTGAACGCGTTGCTGTGCTGCATTCGCATCTAGCGCTGAAATCAGGCACAACCAGATGGCGACTGCTAAGGTCCCAATCAGGAATATCTGGTGGCCCATGTTGGAATGTAACCACTGTGAAAGGAATGAGAAGAATAGGGATGATATTTAAGAACAGGGGTATGCACGCTGCCAGTGTCCCAATCAGGAATCTCTGACGACCCATATTTGGGATACAAACACTGCGAAAGGAATGACAACCGTGGAATTAGGTAAGAGCAGAATAGTTTTGAGGTCCTAATCAGGAAGACTACAAGCCCAGATGGTCCATGTTGAAATACATACTTAACGGGAAAGTGACGAATTAAACTCGTTCCAAGGGTGTCGAGCAGTATGCTCCTTCAAATACTTGCTCTCTCACGCTGACATTGGATCATTTGCATAATATCCACAAATGTTGGATACTTATGCAAAACTAGAAATAGTTTGGTGCCTGCCCGTGCTTTACCGTTTACGTTAGCGTTTGATTTTACATGCGGTGTCTGGGGTAAAAACAGAATCAATTTGTCGCGGCGTGAGTTACGAATACGCTATTTTTTTTCAAAGTTAGAATTTTACAATCGTATTTAACCAGTATTCAATATCACATTTCATATTAATATGAGCGAATTTGAATGTAAGGAGGGTGCGGATGGAATAAATACAAAGAACGTGAAAACACGTAATTCAAGTTGGAAAAAGCAAGTACACGACATAAATACATTACTTGCCAATTGCGGTATCGAATCAGGATACAGGAAAGTTTCGATAATCCAGGTCTTATTATTGGCAACAAGGTTGAAAATATAGTTAAGTCCTGGGGACGAGCTTGGTGAAGAACGAATAAAAAAAGTTTAAAAAGAAGCTGATGGATCCAATGTCATTTAATAGATCGTGACCATTTTGTTTTTGCAGAAAGTGGACAACCGTCGGCAATGTTCCAAAGTAGGCAACACTGAATTTGCAGTTTGACCAATCTACCGACCATTAAGAACGTCTGACCTATTAACCCAACACCGACTCATCGAAGTCAAATATATAATATACCAACTAATCTATTTTAACTGACAGTTTAAGCAGGACTTTTGTTGTCATTGCTTTCTCGCACTAGGTCTCCGGCGGCGGCGGCGCGAACCTGAACTGGTTTTGGGTCTGGTTAGCACGCGCGCTCCGGAAATAGGCTCTATAAATATGTTGCTTATCAAGTGAGGTTCTTTTGTTCACTTACGCGGGTAGGGCTTGGCTAGATTCCAGGTTTGCGTAAAGTTGTTAAAATTGTATACATTTGTTCAGACTGTGTGTTTTGTATGCTGAGAATAAAACAGTCATCCATCCTCCATACAAACGATCAGCGTTGAAATACATGCTGAATTCACACACATTATGGGAAAAGGCTAATGCATACACCCTCGACTTACTGAAACCACAACTCCTAAAATAAACGAGTACTGAACATAGTAACTGTACCCCATGTGAATTTAGTTTATCGGCTTGCTGTAGAAACCAACTATTTCTGCTTGTACATGTGGAACAATTTTATGTACAACTTTTGCACATCAGCACACTGACTCTGTCAGACAGCCATTAACAATACATGCTTTTGAAGTGGCCTAGTGCTCGGCCGATGGCCTCCGGGGTGGTCCATTTTCCTGCCACTCACCAAGTTCATTCATAAAGTAACTGCACAGTTAGTTGCTGTCAACTCTAGTGAATATGCAAACCAAATTTGAAACGAAATTCTCAAAGATTTATTTCATCTACCTTATGCAATGTTTATAAGCCATTAATCAATCAAAATTGATCGACTGATAATCGACCGATAACCCAATGTTGATGACAAGTTGTTAATAGATTAACATATTAGTCACATTTTGTCCGTGAATTTCAGTCGAACTCAATCGGTGCGGCTGGTATAAGACTAGTATGTAATTGGCCGGGTTGCGACAAATATAACGACTTGACGATTACGTTCTCGTACCGTTATTCATAATTATATGCAAGCAGCGCAATACATAATAAAGTGCATTTCTGCGGTGAGATCCAAAGCGCGCACCGCTATGCAATCAGGATTCATTCATTCCGTTGCATGGCGAGTTCTTCTTAATACGTCAGGGACATGTTTGCAGATCTGACGACGTTTAACGACTCATTTCACTCAATTGTGTATAGAACTAAAATGTTTCATTGTGATACTTGATTGATTTTAGTCGTGTATGCCCTAGAATGAATTTTGTAACATTACACGACACAAAGTACGAACCCTCGAAGAAATTAGACTGATTTTCAGAGAGCTCGCATAGAATTCGCTAGCGATTTAAAATACTCCCATATGTTGTGTATAAAATTGAAAAGTTTTCTCCATAATTTTATCAGAAATAGTCATCATCATTTGGTCTGGGAACCAGACTGCGCGCATTGAAGCGATATTTTGCGTGCGTGGAGAGCCAGTAAGGATGCAACCCTGCAAATAAATTCCCATAGACACTAGTGCTAAATGCCCATACTTCAAAATTCTTTTAAAAATACTCACAACTCTCACAGGTATTCAAGCTGCACAGAAAAATGATGATCAACATGTCATCTTTCATTTTCTTTTCATTTTTGGTGGGTTGACCATTGACTTTTCGAGATATTCTCACCCAAAGAAGACGACCCCTATTTTCCCCAAAGCCGAAAAGTAGCCATCTTGAAAAACGATCCCTCCACAACATGGCAAAATAGCGCCACTTTCAAGCCCAATAGCATCCAAAATGCTCAGAATTGGAAGCCCCAAGTCCGGGCCAGAGGTTCATTACCATATCTCTTCAATTCCCCAATTTTACGGCGCTCAGAACTCTCTAGTATGGAATATTTTGAGGGTATAACTTTTATTCATGAGCTCGGCGGATGAATTTAGGCCTATTTACCGGTGTGCACCAGTAACCGTTTACCGTACATGGCACCAAGTCTAACCCTGCCGGGGCACGCAGCGGTACGGTTGCAAGCCTCGTCATGCAAGCAGGCACACTGCAGTGCACACAGTGCCATCACGCAACGTGGAACGCACCGGAGCAGCGCTGCGCACCGCGGGTAGAGGCTCGGGAGTACATCAGGTCGGCATGCATCGAAGACTACCTTGTGCAATTCGAGCGGGTGAGCAGGATTAACTCCTGGAACGATGAGCACCGAGCAGACAATCTATTGGTGGCATTGAATGACCCAGGTCGGGAGGTTGTGTGTTCCTTCCCTTACAGAAATGTCCCATGTAATTCCCATGGGAAATTTTCCCATAGGACCCCATGGGAATTGCATGGTGAATTGGACACCATGTAGCATGGGATTTTTCCCATGGGCTTTTTCCCATGTATGGTTTCCTTTCATTTCTCCAAAAAAATTATTGCTCCATGGTATTTTTCAATAACAACTTCCTATACATTTTAACCTTGTGTGTTAAGTGCTATTCACCAACTAGGTAAAGCACATCACGGAACTCCGATGGGGGTTGTTCCACGTATTAGGAGAGGCTTGTGCACTCTATGTTTAAGTTCACATTATTGCTCCCATACCACTTGTCAAGTTGTACCATATTATCACAGTGTTCCCAACTTATTTTCTCATAAATGTTTCCAACCGTAATAATAAATGAATCAATATTATCCAAAGTTTGAATGACACATTGTCCACATAAAAAAATACTGTATGCATCATTTAACTTCACTTATCAACAGAAAAATTCAAAAATGTGCAATTACAACACTCGTTATTGTAAGGGATTCTCACAAAAATGTCCCATGGTGGTCCCATGGTGTCCCATGGTGTTTATCCCATTGTGTTCAATTGGTGAACATCCACAGGAGTTTCCCATGGTCAGCTTAACAAATAGAATTCTTAATAACCTCTATGGCCACAAGGGAAATATTTTTAATTGAATTCAAATTTACAGCTAGGCGAATAAGTAATTAAATCAAAGAAAGGTTTGCCTATAACTTGGGAGTGCAATTGGGTCTATGATGGTTTTTCATGGCACATGCATGTTCTTCAGTATAACCCGGCAGTGTCCCCGTGCTGCCTTTTAAATCTCCATGGTGTTCCCATTGTATCCATAATTTATATCACCCACATTATGGTGTTCCCATGGCGTCCTAATCCTCATGGTGTACCCATGTGTCTAAAATCCCCATATCCTCATGGTGTACCCATGTGTCTAAAATCCCCATGATGTTCCCATGGTGTCCAGTAAATCCCCATGGTGTTCCCATGGTGACATACAATCCCAATGGTGTTCCAATGGTGTCCATAAAATCCCCGTGGTGTTCCCATGGTGTCCATAAAATCGCCATGGGGTTCCCATGGTGTTCCCATGGTGTCCATAAATTCCCATGATGTTCCCATGGTGTTCATTAATTCCACATGGTGTTCCCATGATGTCCATAAAATCCCCATGGTGTTCCCATGGTGTCCGTAAAATCCCCATGGTGTTCCCATGGAGCTCATAAAATCCCAATGGTGTTCCCATGGAGCTCGTAAAATCCCCATGGTGTTCCCATGTTGTCCATGCAATCTCCATGGTGTTCCCATGGGTTTCCAATGATGATCATTTTAACTTACATGGTGTTCTTGATGACCCCATGGGTTTCCCATGGGGTCCCATGGGAATCCCATGGGACCCCATGGGAATCCCATGGGATGCTCATGGGACATTTCTGTAATGGTTGTCCAAGGAGTCGCATTCACCGTTCAGTGAGCTGGTCAAGGCTCTTGAGCGACGTTTTGGAACAGAGTGCCAACGGATTCACCATCGTGCGGAATTAACAACGCGAAGGAGGCGTGTGGGTGAGACGTCGCGTCGCCGAGCTGGGCCAAGCCGTCAGGAAGTTGGTCCGATCCGCCGGGCATACCCCGACTACAGCCCCAGGTTTATGGAGGACTTTGCCATCCAACAGTTTAGAAATGCGCTGGAAGACATCGAGCTCAAGCGGGCACTATAAGCCGCCCACAATCGGTCAGGCAGTTGAGATTATTTAAGGAGGCTGAGGCATGGTGCAACGCAGAGAAGGCTGGACGGTCAAGAACAGTGATGCCTAAGGCACGTGCAGAGAAAT